CCGATGCGTAAGGGTGAGAACCTTACCGCCATCTTTGAGCCGATTGTCTAGATAATGTGGGACCCTCAACGTCTCACAACCCTATGGGCCTTCAAGGCGTGGTCTAGGGATAGCTTTACTTTTTTTATTGTATATAATATTAAAATATATAGTTTTATTAACATTGATTTATTTTAACTTATATATGTTGGTATATATTTCATCACAAGCCATCCTAATATTAAGTTAGTAAAACTGAAAGTCTACAGAATTGCGGTTGTAACTTCAGACCGCTGTGGGATGTCAGACACCAGTTCTTCAATTATAATCACATGAATCAAGATTTACTTCGAAGAGCGCTTATATTTGTAGGTACTCTCACACAAAAATACGTTTAATCTGGCATATTACATGTCATTTTTATTAACGCGTGATGTTCAGTTTACTGTGAACAATATTCACATACTGAACAAGGCCACCACTTCCTCTAATACCGTCTGTACCTAACCCCCCCCCCAAAAAAAATCCCTCTCAATTTTAGAATTTTTTATACTATTGTAATCCTATAGACATTTCGACAAATTACGAAATGTAAATAAATCAATTTATTACTTGTATCACCAGCAATAAAACATGACAAAATTCTCATGTCTAATTGTAAAATTAGGAGGAAAATTATCTCTGCGGCAGGCGGTTAGCAGTATGTGGTTCGCGGGTTTCGTGTGACTTCAAGTCATGTTTACGGAAGTGAATAAAAACTGTTTAACTCCTTTACGATGAAACTGTGTAGACATTTCCGAAGCAAGAGCAGTATTACGAACGTAGAATTATTTATTCATAGGAAGGGCCTAAATGACGTGACGTGAAGATGGCATTACGAAATGAGAATATTAGAGGAGGCTTGAAGTAGGGTCACGTGTTGTACCGTGTCATTGCAACGGCTCTCTAAGTGTGTGTGTGATACAGTGTTGTGACATTTCCTGCATTTTGCCAACGGCTGCTTCATCCGAGAGGAACCACCAACGTCCATCCGATGAAGACTTCGACCCGAGGACTATGGCAAGAGGAGCTCCACGCAAACGGTATCGTTAAGACCAAAACAGTACCCAGTGACATTTATAAAGTGACATGTGTATGTTTGTCTGTCTGTCTGTGTATTTTACTGTGAATTCGTTTTATAAAATGTAGGAACGAGGAAACGCATAAGGTAGGCCAACAAAACGTGCTCCAGCTTCAGCGTTGGACAGGACATCAATTGTCAACATGGAGGAAGGCACAAGGTAGGTCCCTAAATGCCTTCCAGCCTCAACGTGGACAAGACATCGGCTGTCATCATGAAGAAACACATCAGGCAAATCAATAATATAAAGTAACTGACCCCCATTGTTACTTATCGAGGAATACACGTGGACTTGTGACATGCACATTTCACATGTTGAAAATCGCGTATTGCTGTCGGAGGATTTTATATGAACAAGAACGTAGCTGAAGATGTAATTAAAATCCATCTGAAGAACTGAACGTGTTAGAGTTAAACTGAATAGACAATACAGGCCTCTGAGTTGGGTAGTTCTGTCACTAGCCGCCAGGCTGTGTGATATTAGATACGGTTCGTGTTATCACGAGAATTATTTCCATAAAGCGAAGCGTCGTTTGTGTTGGCCGCCCTTGGGCGTTTTCATTTGATTTACACATCGAAAGGAGCGTCGTTTGTGTTGGTCGTGCTTGGGTGTTTTCCTTCGAGTTACATATCGAAAGGAGCGTCGTTTGTGTTGGCCGTGCTTGGGTGTTTTCCTTTGATTTACACATCGAAAGGAGCGTCGTTTGTGTTGGCCGTGCTTGGGTGTTTTCCTTCGAGTTACATATCGAAAGGAGCGTCGTTTGTGTTGACCGTGCTCGGGTATTTTCGTTTGATTTACACACCGAAAGGAGCGTTGTTTGTGTTAGCCATGCTTGGGTGTTTTCGTTTTTCATTTACACATAGAAAGGACCGTCGTTTCAATACGACGTGTTTCAGCTGCGCTTTCGAGAAGAGAAGCCATCGACATTTTGTCTTTCTGAAGAATTTTGCTTTAATTCTGTGCACAAAATGGCGTATAATGGTGAGCTGTTTGAGATTGATTAAGACGTCCGTTTTAACACGGTTCACTGCAGTGAACGAATGGTACATTCGTTTCACTCCTTCCGACCGCGAGGATATTAAAAACGTACAGCGTATCGGATCAAGAATTGTGCTTTTGAATGAAGATCTGAGTGACAGAAGACTTGACTTCAAATTGCTAACTGCAGAGGTAAGGTTTCTGTGTAAATCCTCCTGATTTCTGTATGTTTGTTGCAGATTATACTAATGTTGTTTTTTGTTTTTGTTTGTTTCTTTTGTTTCAGGTCCCGCTCATATCCTGTGCCTCACCGTGGCGAGCGGGTGAAACAAAGAACGGCGCATGCCCGAAATTGAAATGTCCGTTGCAGTAATAAGAGTACCTTTCAGTCAGGTTAAGCGGTTTTATCTATTAGACGCCATTCTTGATAATTCTGAACCTTCTGTTCGTTTCTCCATGTTCTTCTTTCAGTAATTTCTGCCCACATTGTACGAAATTTAGTTAAATTTGTTTTTATACTTAACGAAAATCTGTGCACCAAATTTCATTCAAAAAACATCTGGGTACATAAATGACAGTTTATATTAAACATAAGGCGTGTCCCAGAATAATGCACTTGTACATTCTCTGTTTGAGTGGGTAGAGAGTGTTTGGGCGAAAATGGCGGAAATTCAGTGCATATACACATATGTATAACACACACTTCTTTTCTCTGTCATTGTTTTGGATGCTGTTACATTTTCTGATATTAAAATCATATGAATTAAGGGGTGATAGCACGAGATGTGTGTATTTGCATATAATCTGTTTGGATCAACAACTTAGTGAGGGCGATTTAAACATGTGTATATGCTACAAGCCGAAAGGTCGCGGGTTCGATTCCCGATGAGATCTTTCGATTTTTCGACAAACTAAGCATGTGCTCCACCCGAATTAAAATAACGAAATCGAAGAAAATAATGGAACATGCATAATAATAATAATAATAATAATAATAAATATTATTATTGAACTCTAAAAAGCTGAGTATTTCTTGAGAAGCCGCCAGTCTTGATAGTTTTTCAACAATTTATGGAATCTAAAGATTCATTACCGTATTCACAAAAGGCCTCCACTGATCCCTACATGAACTGGATGAATCCAGCCCATACCACCCTTTCTTATTTCTGTAAGAACCATTTTAATATTATCCTCCCACGTACATCTAAGTCTTCTTCGACAACAATAACAGCAGTAAAAATTGCAATTGAAATTTTATTATTTGTAGAAATAGCCTTGAGCAACTTCTTATAAGTTTTAAGCACATTTTCTTTTTGCCTTTCTTAGTAAATTCCCCCCCCCCCAAAAAAAAAGAAAAATTCTGGCCCTGCCCATGGCGGTCATACAGTATATTGAAATGAATGTTTACAGATCACGTAATATATAATTATCAATTATGGGAATGCATCGTTCTTTGGCCAAACAGGATAAATTTATTCAAGTGCTAATTTTAACCATTTCTTGTAAACTTTTTTTTTTGGTGAATGGTTATCCTTATGCATTCTGTACTTAGCTGCTCAAGAATTTCCTTTTTTACAGAACCCACAGGATCCTCATTCATCATTACATCCTGCTACAGGATTCTGAAACAAGATTACCAGTCTAAAATTTATCCTTGCATGAAAACATATCACATGGGTAGTGTTGATGACTTACTGATCTTTCATTACATGACAGTCTTACTCCTGTAATATTGTAACTGAGTTTATACCAGCTTCATGTGAAGAAAAATTAAGTTCTATTTTCACAATAGAATTCACGTTTATGATATGAATTTCCAGAACAGCCACCTTAACTTACACAATTACTGATTTCCCCCTCCAACACAAAAAGCAACATGTATAAATTCAAGGGATTTTGGATAGTTTACAAAAAGGAAAAGCGGAAATGCTGACTGCGATAGTTCCATGGCAGTTCTAGTGTTCAGTCATCTTGCACACCCTTGCCAGATACATATTATAATACACAATTCTTGATCAGATGTCTCTACGCTACTAATCAGTTACATAACCATTTTTCTTACTTGCAGTAACAGCCAAGTGTTTATTAACTCCCTCTAAAGCAATAACAGTTCAGACGCCAGAAAAGGGGACCAGGCATATCTGCCCTTCCCCCAGATTATTTTAAAATAAAGCATCTCCTTGTCTTAGACCTTTCTGGATTGGAAATTTATCAAATGTTTACCTATCCAGAATTTATTATAAGTTTTGTTTAAACTCATTTTAATCAGCTTCACTAGTTTCATGGGTATCCCAAACTCTATCAGAATATTGTACTATACTTCCCTCCTAACTGAATCATAGGCTCTCTTGAAGTCTACAAATAGCTGATGTACTGTCTCATTGTATTCCCATTTTTTTTCTCCAATATCTGATGAATGCGAAAGATCTGATCAGTAGGTGATCTGTTACGTCAAAACCCACACGGATAATCCCCAATAATTTCATCTATATATGGACTTAACCTTGAGAGAAGAATATTGGATAAAATTTTGTATGAAGTTGATAGTAGTGCTATCCCCCGATATCTATGCTTTAGATACAAAAGAAAAATAGGTGTTATGCAGAAATTGCGCTGCTCGATTTATATTCAAAATTACCCAGTGGCTATCAAATATATTTTTTTTAGAGGATCTGCATTAGTGGTTATGGGGCAAAATTTGCTTCAATTTGTATTAGTTCAGTATAATCCTTAGTAGAAAATACAAATTAAGAAGTGTAATATCTCTGGGATTCATTACATTTTAAGATGGGGAAATTATTACTTTATTCAGCGTAGTGTCTGCACTGATATAATTTCTTCAGTCTTGTTTCACGCCACCCGGGTCCATATTTCCCGCCTTATGGAAGGGGGGGGGGCTCGTGAGGATGACTAGTAAATTTTTCATAGACGCCTTGGTTGCGCAGACTGTCGTTTCTAAGTCGTCATTGCACAATACGAAAGTGGATTATCTGGTGGGATGTTTTAGAAACAATATCTTCACTTTGAAACAGAATTTTGGTCGCAATTTTCATCAAGCACTTGATAGCATAACTTTTTTTTATATAACCAGTACTGAACACCTATACAATGTGGTAACTTAAAACTTTCGAAAGTGTAGTAGTAATTTTCATAATTCAGAAGTGACTAGTCAGTTTTGTATGAGTCAACGTATGAATGTTTCTGGAAATATTACAGGGCGGTATAAATTAGAGTGAAATTCTGGTGAAGCAATTAATTCACGAAGAGGTGGCTTTGCGCACAGTGGAATTTGTGGTGATATAAATTTAATATGGAATTTCCAGACTTAGGAAAACATTGTTCAGATCCAACCTGTAAACAACTAGGTAAGACATTTGCGGATATATGAATTTAAGTATAGTTTGTATCCACACTTGGTGTAATATGTTGTTAAAATTGCACGCCATGCTCCGTTGGAATCCCAGCATTGTAAGTTAAAACTTTTTTTTTTTTTTTTTTCAGATTACCTGCCACTGAAATGTGAAGCCTGTGAAAATATTTTCTGGTAAGTGTGAAGTACTGTTTATTGTATGTGCAGTACAGTTTCTGTATTGAATGTTATCTTGGGTAACTTAGAGTCGACGTTTTTTGGTGTATAGTTATCTTGTTTACTGTACCAAAGTTTCTGTCAATAATTAATTTTGAAAATTGTATGTGTAATAGGAAATAGAGGGAGAGGACCATAAGTGCTGCAGGCATGAAATGCATTTAATTCATCTTTGTGAAGCATTTGTATCTATGTTGGAACTTCCGTTTGTCTACTGGATTTGATATTTTATGTTTTATTATAACTAGAATTTATTTGCATCAGGTAGATGCTTTATGGAACTAGGTCAAGGTTGCAGAACTGGAATATGTTTTGCTACAGATGCAATATTTAATACAGATAAAGTAAAAAAAGTAGAGCTATCCCTGTAACAGGCCATGAAGGCCCATAGCGTTGTGAGACGAGGGTCCCACATTATCTAGACAGTTGGCTCAAAGATGGCGATAAGGTTGTGAGCCTTACGCACCGGCCTTGCTTTACTCCCCAGGAAAATTATTTAATTAATTCCTGATACTCATTTCTGTTAGAGGCTGAGTAGACCCCAGGGCCATAATGCAGCTGGAAGGGTTAGGTCAACTGAAAAAAATCCAATGACGTCATCAGGACTTGAACCCGCGACCTTCCGGCTTGTAGCATTGTGCCTCAACCAACTATGCTACCGCGTGCCCCCATTTAATACAAATATAAATATATATGCATAGTTTTTGCAGGTATTTGGAGACTTTTATGATTACATTCAGTAATACAGATCAAAATAATTACAGAAAGAACTCACTTTAATTATTTTATTCTGCATTACTGAATGTAGTCATAAAATGTCTCCAAATACCTGCAGTAAGTATGTTATGTATTGTTTTTTATGCGTTTTATTTATACAGACTGTAGATTTTCCTAAATGAGAATTTAATGATATGATTTCTCATTTCTTGCCAGCCTAGATAAGTTTCCAAGTACACAGACATAGTCTCCAATTTGTAATCAAACGGTACAGTATTCTGCTTTTAAAAAGCATAATGTGTTAAAAATATGTATGATTATGCTCTGTAATTCAGGGTCTTCACTAGTTCACACTACCCTTTCCCCCCTTTAATCTGAATTAGTAACATTTCACTGTGTGTCAAATTCTATTCATTAATTTACAGTCCTTCCTAATTTTCAGTTAAAATGATTTTACAGGGTGAGAAATATGGTGATATTTTTATGTTCATTTGAGTTTATGAAGTAAAAATTCTGAAAGCTGATGTTAAATGATTGAAGATAATAAAATGTAAGTGCTGTGAGTGAAGTTCTCATAATAACCATGAAGATACATATACTCTAAATCTTTTAGTAGCGCTGCAACAGTCGTGTTATTTACTTCCGTAAAGTCTCATATAAGCTGTATACATGAATATGAAAGAAAGTTGTTTCTTTATAAAGCCGGGAACACGTCAGTTACAAGAGTCACGCCTGTCCCTCGGCATACAAGAAGGATGTCCAGGTCCCTGTGTGCCCTCTGTGCAATACACCAATCCCTGTGAAGCGTGGGGTACAGCCTGACATTGCTGTGGGTGCCCATATCGACAGCGACTGCATGTCAGATCCTGCCAAGAATAGAAGAAAGGTGACTTTTAATTTTTTTTCTTTTTCATGATATGTTGCACTGTTGCATAGGCCCTGATTTAAGGCCCAGCCACAGGAATATGTACAGACAGAAGTGAGAAGTGTGGCAAGAATGAGCAGGGCAGTGGTTGCAGTTGCATTGTGGGAGGCAGGGTGACACATTCTAACAAAGACCCTGTTATAACCCATTTTTTTTTCTTTGGCACTACAGCCCCAGTGGTCCTAGGCCTAACTCCATGAACTCCGTTCACTTCGGTTTTTCTAGATCTTACACATACAGTAGGACTCCTTGGGCGAGTGATCGGCTCATCGCAAGGCCTCTACCTGTAGACAGACACAGAAAAATGCACACAAACATCCATGCCCTGAGTGGGATTCGCACCCACGATCTCGGCTTTGAGCGAGCAAAGACAGTGCATGCTTTAGACCGCTCGGCTACTGTGACCGCCGTTATAACCCATACACACACTAAAACTAAACTAAACTGCATGGAGCTGAGCCCTTCTTGAGAAGCCACCAATTCTGTAGTTATTCTAAAACTTCCCAACATTTTATGGAACCTGAAGGTTCTTTACTGTATTCACAAGAACCCCTCCACTGGTCCCTATCCTGATCCAGCTCGATCCATTCCATGCCACCACATCCTGTCTAACATCCATTTTAATATTATCCATCCACCTACATCATGATTTTCATAATAGTCTCTTCCCTTCCGGCTTTTCGACCGATATCCTGTATGCATTGTGCTTTTCCCCCCATTCATACTACATGACCTGCCCATCTCATCCATCTTGACTTCATCATTGTAATTATACTTGGTGAAAAGTACAAGTTATACCTGCACAGACCATACAATCCGTATCTAAGTGAACTTGGCCAGATTGGCTGTGCATTGTCTAAATAATGTGGTCAGTGGCTGTTCACATGTGTGTCCAGGTGGCTGACTGTCACGTTTTTTATTGCTAATACCATTACTTGTAACTTAAAATCCATCTGTCAGCCACATACAACTTGGGTTTAAAATCCTCTGTTCCTGAATGAAAAATATTAAGTGACACATGACAGTGATTTTAAAGAGTTGTCTTTTGAGGTGTGACACTGTAAGCCAAGGAACAAAGCAGAACGCAGAGGAAACACTGCTGCTGTCTGTTTTATTCAGAACTTTTCTAATTATTGATGTTATGTGTTGTGACAGAGTTTGTTTTTGTGGATAAAAAGTGATTTGTATACATATAAAAGCAAGTCACAGTAGCTGAGCAGTCTAAGTCGTGCCTGTCTTCGCTTGCTCGGAAGCCAGGATCATGGGTTCGGATCCAACACAAGGCATGGATGTTTGTTATGTGTATGTGTTTATTCTGTGTTTGTGTTGTCCTGTGTTTAGGTAGAGGCCTTGTGGTGAGCTGATCACCCATCAAAGGAGGCATACCATCTGTAAAATGATCATGAAACTGAAAATCAGAGGCCAGGGCCCAAGGGGGCTGTAGATCTAGTTAAAATACTAAAGTAAATTTGTTCCTCTGTTTAATTAAGGACTACACCATGAAGATATAGGGGGGGAGTGGAGTTATAGCTCAGTCATTCTTCACTGTGGCACTAAATGGTAAAGTGTCAGCTGTACCCAGGGGAAGGGTCCCCTGTACCCATCGGATATGAGGCTAAGTGGACCTCAGAGTCAGTCTTGATGTGGTGGTGTACAGAAAAATATCTCACCCTTGCTAGGAATCAACCCCCACCTGTCCAGCCCATAGCCGGCTGTTAATGCTAATTGATGTAGAAATTATTTTCAAATAACATTCTGTGTAGGAGAGTCAGTAACGAAACTGATTATCACAGCAATTTCTCATTGAAATTTTGTTGCTTGTATGCTAGCTATACAGTTATGCACTTCTTACAATTTCAGGTGTTCACAAATAAATGTTCTGGAAAGAACTGTCATGTAAAGGAAATAGTGCCGGTCATGTGTAGCGAGTGTAAATTGAACTTTTGCCTCAAACATCGCCATCCGGCAGACCATCAGTGTGAGGGTGCGGCAGGGACAGCAAGGATGAGGGCACTGTAAGTTGATCTGATGTTTCTTGCTCTTCCTGGATCCTTAGCTTAACACATCTTAACAGTAGGATCCTTTCAGTAGCTGCAAGCCAAAATTAGACAAGAGAACTGATAAGCTGATCCTAGCGTTTTCATAGCCTGCGTCTAATGTGTAACTTCAGTCTTTGGTGTTTTCCCATTGTGTGTTGAATTTATATATATTTTTTGGTAGTTTATTTTATAATTTTATTCACTCAGTATCTCAGACTTGCAAGTGGTGTCCAAATAGAAGATGAGTTTACAGATACACCGTCCAGTTGAAATTGAAAGCACAAATGACTTATAATTTTGTATTCTTGCATCCAGCTGCACTTTTCGCTTGCGTCAATCATTCACTGTCTTATGTTTCGACCAACATGGCCATCATCAGGTGTTAAAATATGTCTAACGAGGAAATCACTGCTTTCACTTATTGCTGATGCATATGCAGGTCCCTTTGATATGTGTTTGCATGTGTGTATGTGTGTTGTGGTTCCTGTTCAGGAACAGGACACGCAACGAAGAACACAACACAAGAGGACCGTACGACACCAACCACAACACACACGCACATCAGAGGAACCTACATATGCATCAGTAACAAGTGAAAGCAGCGATTTCCTCATTAGACATATTTTAACACCTGATGATGGCCATGTTGGCCAAAACATGTGCATTTTAACACTTAAAAAAATTTTAATCTTGTTAAGGTGATAAGTTTTTTTTTCACATAAGGTGCTGAATGACCAACACAAGCGACATAATTGTCAAAGTGTGGGATTAGAAACTGACCACCACCAAGCATACCTCAGACCGTATGGCCATGAATGGTAGACCTCCATCAACATGTGATGGCATATGAGAGGCAGATGGGTGGGAAGCAGTAGTGTGGTGGCGGTACCTCTCGCCATTACCACACGAGTTTCTGTGCACGGAGCCAGGGAGCAGACTACTGACCTGCTGTACCTTTCTCAGTAAATGAACTCAAACATGTTTTTGACTCTGAAGAAGAGAATGGACTAGCTTTCTTTAGTTTACACTATCATTAAAACAACTATGTATAACACAGGCCATCAGTAGTGCAATAAATTGTTCCTTTTTCTTCCACCTATACTTTAACACAACATGTTTCGGCCCTAGATGGCCATATTCAGGTGTCTCGATATATTCAAACTGTTACACTGCATTAATATGTGCTAAAATCACGCCCTGTAGTGCACTTAATATAATAAGATAAAATGAAATAAAATCTGTTACATTTTTCGATTAAAATTTTCATTGCTTTGGTGGAATAAATTTTCACGAAAGTAATGAAATGAAATTTTAATGCATTTTATTTTATTATATTAAGTGGACTACAGCATGTGACTTTAGCGCATGTTAATGCAGTGTAACAGTTTTAATATATCAAGACACCTGAAGATGGCCAATCTAGGGCCGAAACATGTTGTGTTAAAAGTGTAAGTGAAAGAAAAAGGAACAGTATGTTGCATTATTGATGGACTGTGTTATGTCCATGGTTTATGCTAACCGTCTTACAGTGTATACACTTTTTCACCTTATTCTTCACTTCCACACTACATGTTTCAACTACTATGTTATACATAAACATTTTATTATGGCTTGCAACAGGATGCATAAATACAGAATTATGCCGTCGCTCAGTGCGTGAGCTATATGGGCACCCTTCTTGAGAAGCCGCCAATTGTACAGCTACTGAAGAACTATTTTATGCAACCCGAAGGTTCATTACCGTGTTCACAAGAGACCTCCACTGGTCCCTATCCTGAGCCAGATCAGTGCAATCCATACCATCCCATCCCACTAAGATCCATTTTAATATTGTTCACCCACCTACGCCTTGGTCTTCCCAGTGGTCTCTTTCCTTCTGGCTTTCCCACCAATATTCTATAAGCATTCCTCTTCTCCCCCACTAAATTTGACTTGGCTCATCCTGGTCTGTCACAGTAGTAAGAGTAAAAAAGGATTATGAATGCCATCCAGTGTGATTGATAAATGGTGTGTTTTTTAAATCTTTCATCCTTTACATGTTTCCGTCAGAGCAACTATCTTCAGATGAACATTATCAATACATACAGAAACTATTATTACAGTGTCATAAATATATGAGGGCAAATTGAAAAGTCTTTGCCCCTATTTTTTTTTCAGCCACAATAGTACACATACAGGGAAATCAAAATACAGGCAGTGTTCTAAGTACCTTTGACTGTTTTTCCACATAGTCACCACTCCGGTTCAGGCATTTGTGTGGAGATGCCGCTGTTGTAGAATTCGGCTGGTTGAGCGTGGAACCACCTCCAGACAGTGGTTTTTGCGTCGTCGGAAATTAACCTCTGGGCTGCCAGGAACTTCTTCAGGGGACCGAACACGTGGTAGTCACTGGGGGCAAGGTCTGGACTATATGGTGCATGCTCCATAATCTCCCATCCGATTGACTGCAGTTGGATGGCGGTCCTATTTGGCACATGAGGCCTGGCATTGTCATGGAGCGGAACCACATCGTCCACGAGAATCCCTGGGCATGACTGCAGTCATTCGGATAGGAGATTATGGAGCATGCACCGTATAGTCCAGACCTCGCCCCCAGTGATTTACCATGTATTCAGTCCACTGAAGAAGTTCGTGGCAGGCCAGAGGTTCATTTCCGATGATGACTCAAAAACTGCTGTCCGGAAGTGGTTCCACGCTCAACCGGCCGAATTCTACAACAGTGGCATCTCCAAACTAGTGGTGGGATTGGACAGATGCCTGAACCGGGGTGGTGACTGTGTGGAAAAATAGTCAGAGGTACTTAGAACACTGCCACTATTTTGATTTCCCTGTATGTGTATTATTGTGGCTGAAAAAAAAAATAGGGGCAAAGACTTTTCGATTTGCCTTCGTAAAATATTAGCCTTTAGCAATTACTGTGATATGAATGAATTTATTAAAATATTTATAAATTATCAAAATTATCCTATTTACAAGGGTCATTTATAAAACTTGTTAAAATCTAGAACCAATTTGGTTCGTGTCCTTTATACTCCTCTTTAAAGGAAGATGAGTGTATGCCATGTCGTGGTTCCGTTGTTTGAAGAATAGGACTGTTTAGTGTCGTCCACTTGTTCGGGCCACTCTGTGTTGTTATAACATTTATCAATTCCACTGGACAGCGTTCATAATCTTTTATACCTCTTCTCCCCCATTCATGCTACATGAATTGAAATTGGCTGGGAAGGAAGCAGTCGCGGCCCAGTCAGACTACTATCCCAGCAGTTATCTTGAGAGGTTAAGGAAACCACAAAATACCTCAGAGTAGCACAGATTTGAACTTAGCACCTTCCTGCATACATACATACATAGAGAGCGGCCTCCGTAGTCTAGAGGTAACGTTCCCACCTCATGACTCTTGGTACGTTGGTTCAAATACGCAGTGGATGTCGTCGAATTTTTAAGGGTGAAAAAATTCAGGGAACAAGTCCTCCATGAGGGACTTTAAGCCGTGGGTCCCATGTCGTAGCTTTACGGCACGTAAAAGAACCTCATATCTTCAAAGGAGATCACTGAGCCAAATTCAAGGACATTTCCCGCCCAATAGCAGTCTCTAAGGCCTCTGATAGATGGGGGAAGCATTATAGATACTGCCAAGCCAGTTGAGAACTCGCTGGCCGGGTCGGGACTGATGGTAAGCACCATTATCGGTAGGGTATAGAGACTGGTGGAATATTATAGAGGGAAGCACAATGGACCAATACTGGTCTAAGTGCATGGGGAAACCCACCCTCTCTAATAACTAACTAACTAAATAACTACATACATAGAGCATAGCCCCTGTATCACCATATTCAGTGCCAAGTGTTGAACCTGTTACGTTTTGAAGTACGTTGCAGTTGCCATCTTCAGAAGGAATAATGGGGAAGGAGGGTGGTGGGTTGTAGAGTGTAGTGCTGTCCAATGAGAAGAGACCTTGTGGTTAATAAAGTTACAAGACATGAAGCAAGTAAAGCCTAGTTTACCTCTTTTCCGCCAGACTTACTCCACATCCACATCATTTCTATCCCTGCAGGACTTGATTGTCAAGCCAATTTAGTTTCAGTTATTTCTCCGCTGTTTTTTTCTCATTTTATGTTGCTGTATGTTCTGTCTTACAGAGAAGCCGCAGTGGCCCGACAAGCAAATCTTCATGCGGTTGATGCATCTTTAAGCAGTCACAGTCCAAAACCAATCAAAAGCGAACCCACAGAACCTGAGACTTCAGCAGCTGGCATCCAGGGAGGATTGGTGAGTGTCTATACAGCATGATACAAATCTTTAATCAGTCTGAGTTTGTATTGATATGTTGTTTCACAACTGTTTTGCAAGAATATGGTATTGAAATGTATGCAGTGATTCACAATATGACGGCAGGCACATGTTTACAATGAAAAAGAAACTCTGTGGTTTTAGTCGGCAAGTGAACTATACTGACTGAGCGACCGCCGCTTGTCAGCGAAGTTAGTGCCAACTTTAGCAGATAGAGAGTGTCGCATGGTCAGCGCAACAGGTCCCCATGGCCATTAATTTCGGTTTTCTAGACCGGAGCTGCTATTTCCTTGAAATAGCGCCTCAGTTACCCTCACAAGGCTGAGTGGACCTCATTCCAGGTACACTACTTCTAGGAAAATTTGGTAGTGCCTGGAATCGAACCCGGACCTCTGGATCTGTAGCCAGAAACTCTTGACCACTAGACCACAGAAGTTGCAAAAATTTGTATATTGATTATCTAATGCCAATGAGCTTGTCCATCCTTATGTAACAACTTTAGAACAACTGAAGGGGTTCTGTGAATGTTTGTGCTGGGAAATTTTACTAAAATTTAGCTTCACATATCCAGTTTTAGTTAAAATCAGATAACACTAACCAGCCATTCACATAAAAACCTGCATGGGTTTCTGTACATATCTCAAGTGTAACTTTATAATTTGAATGAAGAAGGTCATGAACGGAAATTTTTATGAAGAATTATATATCACATGTTTACATTTCCCAACTTGTTTTGTGTTTGCCAACAAACTGTCAACTTCTCGGAGTTGCCTAGGGGTGCAAACCTTTTCTAAGTGATGTCACTGTATGTATTGAAAGGAACTGTAGATTCTTCACCCTGCCTGTGTAGTAGTGCTGTTTATTGTTCCGTGTATGTAGACCTTACGAATGTTTGGCATGCCTAATCCCACATTTATAACGGCAAAGGGGCGTACATTATAACTACATGAGCATACTTTGAAACTGCACAATAGTAAATAAGCACCCAAGCCTCTGCACAAGGAGACCTCAGTCTTTATTGATTTGAATTAAAGTCCATTTATTTTGATTTAAGAGATATCACATTCGCATGTGATATGAGAAGTTGGATGTACCATACTTACTTACTTACTCATGGAGCTGAGCCCTTCTGGAGGAGTCGCCAATTCTGCAGCTACTCAAGAATTTACCAGCATTTTATGGAACCTGAAGGTTCATTACCGTGTTCACAAGAGCCTTCCACTGGTCCCTATCCTGAGTCAGATCTATCAAATCCGTACCATCCCATTCTGTCTCTAAGATCCATTCTAATATTGTCCACCCACCTATGCCTTGGTCTTCCCTGTGGTCTCTTTCCTTCTGGCTTTCCCAACAATATCCTATATGCACTCCTTGTCTCCCCCATTCATGCTACATGACCTGCCCACCTCATCCTCCTTGACTTGATCATTCTAATTATACTTGGAGAAGAGTACAAGTTATGAAGCTCCTCATTATGCAGTTTTCTCCAACCTCCTGTCACTTCATCTCTCTTCGGTTCGAATATTCTCGTCAACACCCTGTTCTCAAACACCCCCAGTCTATGTTCCTCCCTTAATGTCAGAGACTAAGTTTCATATCCATACAGAACCACAGGCAAAATTATAGTCTTGTATATTCTAATTTTTATGTTTTTGGACAACAGGCGAGAAGACAAAAGCTTCTGGACTGAATGGTAGCAAGCATTACTCGAGTTCAATCGCCTCTTAATTTCCTCCTGAATCAGGTTTCGATCTGTTACCGTTGTTCCCAAATATCTGAGCTGTGTCACATTTTCAAAGGATGTACCCTACAGTGCAAGAAATTTAGCGAATTAGAGACACTGATGATGGCTGTGTGCTGGCGAAACATGTTGTGAGAAGGAAAGGGAACAATAATAAGTTGCACCAGACATAAATGTATTGTGTGAAGTAAATGCTTTAATATTTGGTATAATATACAGTTTATAATAATTTCGACAGAGTGAAGACGAGGCTTTGGCACGTGCATTGGCCCTCTCACTTCAGGATTCCTGTAATAGTCAACCAAATGGCACTATAGACGACAGGCAGCAGCAGGTTGATGAGGATCACATGTTAGCTAGAGCCATCGCTGAATCAGAGAGGCAACTGCACACTGCCACCACAGTATCTTTGCGTGATCGTTGTAACATCTCGTAGTGTAGCTGTATGTTTACTTGATACATGCCAGAAAAATTTAAGTGGTATGTACTTCTTGGACAATCGGTTGTGTCAAAATGGAATGGATTTTCGTCCATTCGTTCCGCATTGGAACATCTTGACTGCCCAAGAAGGTATAATTGCATTTACTCACCATGAAAGTTTCAGATTTCTATTTCTCAGGTTCTTGCAAGTGATTATAGTTGATTGCCTTAAGTTTGCACAATGGATTGTTTGCTAGTACCTGTATATACCTGCCATATGTTTGGTATACAGGTGAAACTTGAATTTTCTGTGATGGTGAGCTCAGTTGTGCTCATGAACGGTGCTTACAGAAGTGATGTTTGTTTATCACCAAGCTATGCAAAAACAAATTTCTGTCCAACATTGCACAAAATTTTTCACACATGAAACAATACGTTTGCATCTCAAAAAACTAAAATTTTACAGGATGGTTGGTCAAAGTTTTGTGTTATGTATGTAAATTCATGTAAAAGCATAACTGACATGTAGCAAAAGAGAGCAAGCATAGATGTGGCCTTATCACACTAGCTTAGAAGTAACTTTTGACTCTCAATTTATTTTCATTCATCTTGTTCATTCTAGGTGTGAAATTTACACTGTATTTATATTTATTTCCCTATAACTAGGTTATAACACCTGGCCAGTAGGCACAGATCACAATTTGAACCAATCATGAAACTTAATCTTATTTGAAGAGTTCTCTCTTCTCTGGGATACAGCGCTGTTTAGTCTTTCAGAAGTCAACAGAGTACATGGTGTTATTATCCCATAAGATAGAACTCTTCATAACCACCGCTGTGAGAACCTCAGATCTCATATATTGATTTTATTTATTTATTTTCCATAACATTGACTTTAGTAATTGATATATAGTCGAATCAGTTGCACGGTTTTGACACTTATTTTTATATGCTTTTTCACAAAGTTTATCCTTGCATTAACTGTTACTGGTTGTTGAAATGTCCAAATAAGTAAGATTACTGTTATCTGACATGTGACCAGGTGCTTAATCAGGTACCACCATTTGGGAGTAACGTCCCATCTTCATTTTCAGCACAAAACTTCTCTGGTGTAATTATGGTTGATTGGCTTATTCTCTTCTATTCTGCCATGAAGATTGAGGTAACACATTCCTCTAAAATGTTGGTGCCTATTTACCAAAGTACAGGGTCACATCCCAGAACACCACAGTTGTGATATTCACTTCCCTGAGAACATAAAACTATGTTTCAGTAACTGAGCATGAATTTGTGCAGAGTTACAATGGATTATAACATGAATCATAACAGGATGAAATATTATCCCCAAAAGGAATGCTAATTTAATATTGTCACATGTATGAATGTGGCTGTAGATATGGTATTGATTAGTAATTGGATTTCTATGATGTGTATTTTTGCCAGCTGTCAGCTTCACCCTTCTCTTCACTTTTACTCTACATGTTTCGGTAGTAACGTGCCATCCTCAGGTGTGTCTCTATCCACGTCGAACCACTACACTGCAGTGCACTGTAAGACGGTTGGCAAAAGTACACATCATGGGCATGAATCAGTGCAACAGGACGCTTAAATATAACATTAGTAATTGGATTTATTGAACACTGTAACACATAACTTGCTACTACATTTTATGAATTATTTTCACACGCATACTAGTGTTCTCAGTCTGTTACAGTCTCCACAAACCATTGCCTGGTAGCAGTTTCCTACAGCAGACATTCCTCTTCCTCTGGGTTCCTGAATTGTCCCTGGCATCAGCTACCAGCTCCTAACAGCAATATCTCACAATGACTGAACTGCAGCAGTCCTCAAACTCACTCACAAGCAACTCTTGACTAAATCCACTGATTCACAAAGTCAGTCAAAGTTATATTACAACTAACAGTCAGCCAGGCAGTATGTCTTGGTGTGAAGCACCCATCTGGAATCCAAGACCAGATTTTTATTACTGCCTGTTACCTAGCAACATCTGTTGATTAGTCACTTATTTCACGGTCATTGCCTAACAGTGAGTCTACATGCCACATAATGTTCAGTTTATTGTGTTGTATTGTATTGTTACAGAATGCTCACAGATGTTATTGCAAGAAGTTTGCATTGTGTGAATTCTGTTTTTGATGATGATCTGTTACAATAAATATTATTCTTAATTTGAACACTGTCCATTGTCTTGTTTGTTTGTTTTTCGAATATGACATTTCAGAAATTTGATCTGCATCAGGCATTGGGTGTAAGGAAGGAAAGATCTCTTGTAAGTTGGTTCTGTCAGGCCTGGTAATTGAGATTATCATTTTCTAAGGGGCCCAACTGTCTGGGAAGCTTTTCCTCCATTACACCTGAGGACGAACACAGGTTCAGGTTCGGAAATGTTAAGTTTGAATAAATGAACACAGTGGGCAGTATACAAAAAATATTATTTATGCCTGCTTTTTAGATTGGTTTGTGATACCTAACAGTCTGTTACAATGAGCCAGGATAGATCAATCGGTGTAACAACTGGCTACAGGCTGGATGGCCAAGGGGTTTAAATTCAGTCCTCGGAAAGGGCAAGATTTTTCTCCTCTCCACATCTTTCAGACCAATTCTGGGGCCCATCCAGGCTTCTATGCAATGGGTACCAGTAAAGTAAGGTGGCAAGGGTGTGAAGGTGACCACTTACCTCAAAGGATCTATACATGACTCCTCCATACACCTTCATAGAATAGTGCTTAATCAAGCACAGGAACAACTTATCTAACAGTTTATCACACATCATGTATTATAGTAGTTATTCTATAAC